CAATGACTATCTTTAAAAATCAATAAATCAATAAATAAATAAATAAAATTTTTATGTACGACTGATTTATCAAAGAACAAACGTTTATTATTATTATTATTATTATTATTATTATTATTATTATTATTATTATTATTATGATTTTTTCCTTCACGTTCAAAATGTCAAAAAAAAATACATCAAAGAATAAAAAAATTTTTACCGCATTACTCCTCCAACTATCCTTTTTATCATTCGCATGTTAATATTCACGTCGTATCAGAGAAAATTTTTATTATTTTCCTTTTTGAGGGGTAGGAGGAAGGGGGAGGGAGAGGGGGTTCTATTTCTGACATGACTTAACAAAAAAAAAGAAAATTTACCCAAAAATTGCAGAGTTTACGCAAAATAAAAAAAAAAAAAGTAAAATATTTTTTTTATATGAAAAACTAAAAAAAAAATTGACAATCGATTTTTTATTTATTATTATTATTATCATTATTATTATTATTATATTTTATGGGAGGTGATAAAAAAAATTATTTTTAATAATAAATTTTTGTTACTTTTACTATTTTTTTAGATCGCACGTGAGAATTCTTTTTTTCTTCTCCGAATCACTCTTAAAAAAAAATTTTCTCTCCCTCTTCCATTTTCCAATAGAAAATCTTTTATTATCATTATCATAAATTAATTTTTTTTTCTTTGTAAGTAATAAAAATGGTATCAAAGGTGAAATATTATTATTATTATTCTTTTGATTTACCTGAAAAGGCATTGTAGAATATTCTATGTTGAAATAACCAACATTCCAATGTTCTCCTTGTTTTCCACTCATCCAAAATGACGGTATCAAATTATAAAGTTCGACATTTTCAGGTTTAACGTAAATTTTTAAGGTATCTGATAACAAAATAATGATAAAATTATTTTTTAATTTTACTCAATGCAATGAAGTCGGAATTTCATTTTAATAAAAAAAAACAAAAACGGGATTCGATATTTCGTATCAAACGGGGAGGGGGGAGGAAGGAAAGAGGAGGGGGAAGGGAAAGGGGAGGGAAGGAGGGATTTAAAAAAAAAAAAAATTTTGTTGTTGTTGTTACCAGTGTCGGATCCTTTCATCATGTAGGAAAATTTAAAATATGTTCCGTTTGAATAATTAGAAGGATAAACGGGGCTGTAAAGTCTTGCCGTTATGTTTTCGTTCCACATTTTTATGTTTGGCATGTACATGTAAAAACCTAACAAACAAAAACAAACAAACAAACAAACAAAAATTTAAGAATAAATTTTAATAAATTTCGTCGTAATTTTCATTTAAATTTGTTTATTTTCCCGCGTTATTTAAAAACGCGAAAAAAAATTTTCCCATTTCTTCTTCCTTTTCCGTTTCAATTATTTCAATTAAAAGTTTCTTTTAAAACATTATCATCATTATCATTATCATTACCGTTGTCATCGTTATCATTATTTGTATCATCCGTATTTTTTTTCCTTCTTCTCCAATCGAAATCGTGCATCGGATCTTGATTCCATCCGCAAATATCTTCACTTTCGAAATCACACGATTTTTCCGGCGTCTTATTGAACACTTTAAAAAAATAATCATCATCATTATCATCATTATTATTATTTTTTGTTAATTGATTAACTAACGTTTTTTTCCGTTAAATATCTGACCTTTACATACTGGAAACGTTTCGTTCCATCTTATTCCGTTGCAGTAAACGCTCGGGGATCCTACGAGGTTGTAACCTGGATTACATATGACTTTAACAACGGCTCCCCTGTAACTTTCTATAAATTGTCCGTTGACGTGTGTCGCACTCGGAGCTCGGCATCCATATTCTTAAAAAAAAAAAAAAAAAAAAAAAACGGAAAACAATTATTATAAAAGGTGAGTAAGAGTTCGTGACCTTCACTCCCTTCCTAAATAAATAATAATAATAATAAATCTCTTTCGATATATTTCATTTCCGCCATTTTTTTTCTCTATTTTCCCCCCCAATCTCTCTTTCTCTCTATCCTTCATCTAAATTTATTTTTTTAATCCAACGAATAAAGTTTTTATACATAAAGTTTTTACGTTAGCAATTTTTTTGGGGGGCGTGGGGAGGTTTTTACGTAAGCAAAATTATTTTTACACGTGTTAAAAAATTTGTAACGGATGGTAAAACAATTTCATTAACAAAAAAAAAAACTTTTAAATCCCTTATCGTCCGTTAAGTAAATATATATATTTTTTTCTCTCTCTCTCGTATTAAATATAATAATAATAATAATAATAATAATAATGCGTTTTTAAACCCTTAAAAGTTTTACGGGGGGAGGCTAAAGGAGAGGGGGAGGGAAAAAAGAAAAAAAAAATTAAAAGAATAATTAAATTATCTAAAACTAAAGTTAATTGATGCTTTTTAATTAAATAGACTAGACTTTGACTTCATGTGGATGTTGTAATTCAATTTTTCCTTTTTACTAATTACTACAAAAAATAAAATCAATAATTAACGGAAATGAGTGAGAAAAAAAAAATTTTTTCTCTTTCCGCTTTTAACTATTACGTCACACTAAATCAATGATGATGATAATTTTTAAATAAAAATTTTTTATTTATTTATTTTTTTTAATGCATATTCATTTTTTTTAGGTTCGCACGTACGTAGGCGACAACAAACGCACATTAACAAACAAACAAACATTCGACAAACAACCAAAACAATTTTTTTCCCGCCTGAAATCCGAATAAAAAATGATAAAAGGAAAAAAAAAAAATTTTGTGTGTCTCGTTTTGTTTTTATATTACGAGATGGAAATAAATCATTTCTATCTCTCTCTATCTATCTCTCTCTCTCTCTTCTAGAAATAAAAATTCAAAAAAGAAAAAATTGCGATTAAAATAAAAACGATCAAAATTTGAACGAATATTTAAAACAAAAAAAAAGAAAATCTTCGGTGATGATGATATTTTTCAATAAGATTATATAAAAGTGCGCCATTTTATTTTCGTTAAATAAACTCTAAGAAAATTTAATAATAATAATAATAATATTAAGCGCCACAACATCATCATTGTATATATATCTGTTATTCAGGAAACCGGAAATTCAAATCAAAAGTGAGACGACGACGACATCGTCGTCGTTTTTTTTTTTTTTTTTTAGTTATCATTTCGATTCACTCGAGAGTTAGATAATATTATATTTATTTTAGCATCCTTTTGAAAACTTTTTCTTCTGCTTTTTTTGGTCAATAAGATGTGTGTCGTGTAGCAAACGAATGAGCGAACGGATTTTTTTTTGTTAAAAAAGATAAAAAACTTACTGACGCATATGGGTAAATCAGCATCCCATTTTCCATTCATGCAACTCGCATATTTAGCTCCGACCAATTGAAAACCTCTCATACAGTTAAAACGTGCATTTCTACCACGAAACCTGTACCTGCTTCTTCCGTTTATAAGCTGTAGAGGCGGACAATTCTGTTCGAACGCGTGAACGTACGTTGATAAATCGATTAATAATATTATTAATAAACAATATATATAATATTTAATTGATTTTTTTTTATAAAACGACGACGTTGGCGACGACGACGAGGACGACAAATTCATTTTTCACTTTATTAAATTATCAAATAATAATAATAATAACAATAACATTTATCTATTAATTATCGATTAAGTCTGATGATTGCTGGAAAAACACGAGAAAAGTTTTACGTATTTATGATAGATAATTTCCCTAATTAATTATTATCACTTATCAATTAAAAAAAAAAAAGAAAAATGATAATTTATGAAAAGCAATATGGCGGATTTTCTCCAAAAAAAATAAAAAAAAATTTTTTTTAATTTAATTTTGGAGAAAATAAAAGAAAAAAAATTCGTGATTTGTTATTTTTTTTTTATTCTTGTTTCTTTTTCCTTCTGCTCTCTTTCTCTTTCTCTCTCTCTCTTTAAAAAAATATATATCCTTTTTTTTTTTTTTTAAATTAAATACCTCGAAGGTAAATATTTGATTACTGATTCGAACTCGCAAAGTTTTTTTTTTTTTTTTTATTTTAAATAATTCAACCAGAAAAAAATTTTTTTTTTTTAATCAAATAAAAGTTTTTGGTTAAAAAGAATTTACCGCGATGATGATAATAATAATAATAATGATAATTTTCTAATGTATATTTTAATAAAAAATTTATAATACCATAACTGGAATCGTTAAAATTCCAGTAAAACAAAAAAAAAAAAATTTTTATCGAACGATAATAACGAACTCCGATAATGTGAATAAAAAAAAAATTTAATTTATTCGAAAAAAAAATCGATCGATTGATGGATCGATTAATCGATTAATCTATTCAAGCTGCCTTTGTTTTTTTAATTATATATAAACTATTTAACGGCGGTTAAAAATGCAATCGTTAAAAAATTTTTATAACGCGTTTTATATTGTTTTAATCACTTTTTTCTTTTTCACGCGATACTTTTTTTTTTCATTTCTTTTACATCACACTCGTACAAAACAAACAACAATAATAATAATAATTTTTTTTTATAACGAGAATAAAATAAAAAAACGAAAAGAAGTTAGAAAAAAAAAATGGGATTATTGAGAACTTCCTTAGTTGATACGCCAATAAATGAAACGAGGATTTATCATCTTTTTCACATCCGGAGTTTTGTGATACATACATCGCGTTAAAAGTCCGAGAATTTTGTTAGAATTATTATTATTATTATTATTATTATTATTATTATTATTATTATTATTACTATTACTATTTTCAAGGTCAAGTTTTTTTCCATATACGATCCGTTTATTTTTTTGCTGATTTAAGTAAAAAGAAAGAGAGAAAAAGGTAAAAACGTAAAAAAAAAATTTGATTGAGAAACGATGAGAATTAATTGAAAGAAAAAAAAAAAGGAAAATTGATTCTAGTCGATTCCAGGACATTTCGAAAAATCTCCCCTGGGGGTGAACTCGTTTAAAATCAATCAAAGGGTAAAACTTGGAAAAAAAAATCTTTTCTGGATAAATAAATAAAATTTCGATTGTAATTATTCGTATTGGATACTTGAAATAATGAGTACGATCTCGATGATGCGATTTCCATAATTAAAATCCCTGGAAAAATGGGAAAAAAATTTTTGCTGGAACGTTAATATTATCATAAAATTGTTTTATAACAACATCATTTTAACGTATTATTATTATTATTATTTACATAACTGGAAATGTGATAGTTAATTTTTTTAAAAGTAAATTTTATATTAAATCGATAATCACGTGATCTTTTTTTAAAAAAATTATTAATTTGGAGAATCCGGGGAGGAAAAAAATTTGAAATTTTTCCAGGAAATTTAATAAAAAAAAAAAAAAAAAAACACTTTCTTCCCTCTCCTCTCCTCCCTCTCCCTACTCCCTCCCCCTCCTCCGCAAAATAAAAATCAATTAAATTTTAATCTTTTTTCCAAAATTTGTTTTCTGGAAAATTTTTTTTAATCTTATCACTCATTTTCCAGTCATTCACGCCCTGCTGTGCTGATAACGCGATCGATTCGATGGAAATAAAAAAATTTTTTTTTCCGGATACGGTTTCGGATACACGGGGAGGCGTGGCGGGGGCGGGGTACGTTAAACATAAAAATTTTTTTTTTTTTGTTTATAACAAATTGTTAAACGATGATCGAACATGTTATATAATAACAAAAAATATCTCACGCGTGAAATAATAATAATAATAATAAAAATTTATAAACCGTAAAAAAAAAAAAAAATAATCGAACGGTCGGGTTTATATAATTTTTTATTGTTACAAAGTTACAAAGGAAAAACCTTTTTTCCCCTCCCCCTCCTTTTCCCGTTCGAATTGTTAAACCTTTTTCAAAATGAACCTTTGTCACCCCCTACCCTACCCTATGTTTTTTAATATCGACAACAAAGAGACAAAAATGATAATAATAATAAAAATTTTTTTTTTATCTTTTTATAAACCGATTTACAAAATTAATTTTTTTTTTTTGTTTTTTTTTTTTAAACGATAATTAAAATTTTATCATTATCATTGTCATTTTTATTATTATTATTATTATTATTATTATCATTTCCATTTTAGGGATTTATCAATTTTTCGTCGATAAAGTTCGACAGGAGTTGATAACGAAAAGAAAACGAGCGATTAGAAAATTTTTTTTCTCCAGCGACGTATCAAACTTCGATGATACGACTCAATCATTCATTCATTCATTCGCTCGTTCGTTGGTTTTATTATCATTATTATTATTATTATTATTTAAATAATATCCTTATTTTTTTTGCTTTAAGTATTTTTATACTATAATAATGATAATAATATTCGCATGAAAGAAATTCAAAGAAGATTTTTTTAAGGGATATTCTTTTTAAAAAAAATCGTAAATTTGAAAGGAGAAAATTTTCAAATAAGATCCCCGGAAAATTCTCGGAAAAGTTTTCTATTTTTTTTTTTTATAACGACACCATCGAGATTCCGGATGAATTTTCATTCCTTTGTGAAATCCAAGTAAAAATTTAAAATGAATATTATTATTATTCTTGAATAAAATAAAAAACTTTAAGAATGATGACAAAGGATTTGTCGCGCGTTTAAAAAACTTTAAATCTTTTTCTAAAACGATAGTTATTTTCATAATAATAATAACAATGATAATGATGATGATGATGACGTCATAACCCACTGCACTTTGATATATAATTATTTAACGTTTATATATAAAATAAGCACGCACACGCACACGCACAAAAAAAAATTTGAATGCGAACAGGAAATATTTTTTTGTAACGCGACCTAATTTTTTTTTTTTTTTAAACGCATCAATAATAATATTAATAATAATAATGATGATGACGATGATGATGATAATGATGATGACGATGATAATGATAATGATGATGGTGATGATGATGATGATACTTTGTGTTCAAGGCATATCAGGTAGCGTAAAAATATTTTTTTTCTTTTAAAAAAAGGGAAATTTAACGTTAACGTGAAATACAATTAAATGTATTTTAAATAAACCTTTTTTGATCGAATGAAATGGACAGGATGCTGGAGAAAGTCTGGAAAAATTGGAAAATGGAAAAAGTATGTATATATATATATTTTGACGTTGGGTTAAATTTGTTAAAAAAAAAAAAAAGTGAAACAAAGACAAAAAAAAATAAAAACCAAAAATTTTGCTCAAATGTTAAATTTATTATAACATTTCACGGAAAATTAATTTTTTTCTCCAAAAATTTTCTCTCCAGAATTTTTCCAAAAAAAAAAGAAACATTGAAAAGAGCGGAACGAAACACGCACTCACGTCGGATTTTTTATTTTTTTTTCTCAAGACTTTTCTCAATATTTTAATAGTAATAATAATTTAAATTTTTTTTTGGCGGAGGAATAAAATTCGAAGTGAAATAATAATTTTGTTATCAGAATGAAAATTTTCTTTTTTTTTTTTGATAATAAAAAATTTGACGTCATAAAAAAAAACTTTTTCCATATTTTTTTTCTCCGTGAAAATTTTTTTGACCTCGATTTGATAAAAAAAGTTAAAATTATGTCATTTAAAAAAAATAAAATAAAAGACGATTTCGTTTTGTTATAAAAACTAGAGAAGGAGGTTTTTTAAAGAGCCTGGAGAAAAAATGAGAGAGGGAGGAGAAATCTGGAAAATAGTAAGGGATAAATGAATGAGGAAAAAAAAAAATTAAATAAATCAATAGAATTTTTTTCTTTTTTCATATGAAAGCGTAATAATTAGAAAACTTTTTTTTCTCCTCCCTCCTCCCCTTCCACCTCCCATTTCTCCTTCCCCTTCTTCCGCCCCCGAGCCCCCCGGGTATTAATAAGAACAAAAGATTAAAAAAAAAATTTTTTTTGTTGCTTTTGGCTTTTGTATTGCATTGTAAAAATTATAAATGAATTATTCTGTTTTAACGATGACAATTCAAATGAGTTCAAAGGTTAAATTAGTAAGAAACTTTTGAACCTTAACAAAAATTAAAAAGGATAAAAGGTTGCCCAGAAAACATTTTTTTTAAAAAAATAAACGTAGCAAAGCAACGGATGCCATTTTTTATTTAAATTTTTTGGAGAAAATTTTGGCGCTAAAAAACCTTAAAATCAAATAAGATTTTTTTTTTTATTTTAGATTTCCAGCAATGATATTATTATCCAGTACAAAGAGAGAGAGAGAGAGAAAGGATTTCAATAAAAAATTCAATGGTAAGTAAGACATTATTATAACAAAGAAAGAATATAATACAATAAAGATAAATATCCCGAGGGATGCGAAAAGCAAAAAAAATCCCTAAAAAAGATTTTTCTCCATCTTGTAATATTTTCTGTTTTATTTTCATCATCATCATTCATCGTTGAGAAAAAATTCGTGTAATTAGAAAAAAAAAATGTATGATTTTCACAACGAATTAAATCAATCAATCAATCAATAAATAAATTTATTGATATTTTTAATCACTTTACCCCTTCCCCCCAAAAAAAAAAAACCAATAATGAAAAAATTTAATTTTAACTCTTGATAAAAGAAAAAAAAGTATCCATTTTCTAATAATACGTTCGCATCCATCATTTTTTTGTATCGGGTGAATTTTCGACGTTCGAACGTTCGAAACGTACGAACGTATTAATTATCACGTTTAAAATTTCATAGATAAAAAAAATTTTTATTTTCCCGTTTGATTCAATTGTCGTGTGCTCGAATCCAAACGATTACAAAAAAAATTTTTTTTTTTTTTTTAAATCATAATAATATTAATCCAATTAAAAATTATTATTATTATTATTATTTTCAAAGATTATTGATAACGTTTATTTCGTTAAACAAAAAAAAATAGATCGATTCGATTCCTGGAACGAGTATAAAGACGCAGCATCCCCCAACATCAATTTAAATTCTTTCGTTAACAAATATTTATTTTTTTATTAACAACTAATTAATTACAATCAATTTCTTTTAAATAAAATAAGTCAAAAGAGAGTTCGTTATGTATGTAATAATAATAATAATAATGATAATATTTACGTCATTATAACGACGGATTCGAATTTTCATCAATTTTTATTAAAAATTTTTCTCCAGAGATTTTTTTTTCTTTTAAATGCGATTTAATTTAACGCGCTCTATCGTGTAGACATGAAACTAATCATTTTCTACAATTTTCCATAAGTCGAAAGTTATTTTATTAATAAATAAATAAATAAATGTTGGGTGACGAAAACAACACGTTTACATTCTCGTTTTAATATAAATAATCAAACGTGCGGCGGTACTACTAATAAAATTTAAATTATTATTATTATTATTATTATTATTATTATTATTATTATTATTATTATTATTATTATTATTATTATTATAGATTTATTAACGGTAATAAAAATATTTTTTATTAGGTAAAAAAAAAACAAGAGGGTAAAACGTGGTAAAAGAATTATGAGGTACGCAATACATTAAAAAAAAAAAAGACACGTTTACGAGTTGTTTGTACCCCCCCTACCCCCCTTTCCAAACCGCTTTACGACGAATAACAATAATAATAATCATAAAAAAAAGTCAAAATGATTTTTTAATAATAATAATAATAATGTTCATAAATTTTATTTCAAAAAAAATTGTTTTTTTAAACTTTAAAAAAAATTTTTTTTTTTTTTTTTTTTCGAAAATTGACTGACAGTGAAAATTCAAAAAAAAAAAAAAGTTTTCATGTAAAAATAATAATAATAATAATAATTTTAAATTATAAAAACCTTTTTACCCTCCTTCCTCCCTACCCTCTCCCACCCCTTCGATTTTTCGTCTCGTTCACGTGATTCTCATCTCAGTAAAATAATTAAAATAATAATTAGTAAGAAAGAATATTATAATTAACTAAATAAATTTTATTTATATATAAAAAATATACGTACGTATTGTTTGCCGTTGTAATGAATAATAATAATAATAATAATAATAAATCTTATTATTATTATTATTATTATTTTAAAACGAATTGAAAACAATTTTTTGATGAATGTTAATTACGGGAATAAAAGAGAAAAAAATATAACAATAATATAATATTGTTATTATTGTTGTTTTTATTTAACTCTTTATTATTATTATTATTATACGCGAAAAATTATTTTTTTTTTAATGAAAATTTTGAGGGGGGGGGAAGGGGAAAAATTTTAAAATGACGTCACGCGCGTTATTAATTAAATTAAAGTTTTTGAAAATAAAAAAAAAATAAAAAAAAAAATTTATTTGAATAAGAATTGTTTACGTGGCACATTGAAAAGTTTTTTTTTTATTAAATAATAATAATAATAATATTAATAATAATAATAATATTGTTTAACCGTTGAACGTTTTTTGGGATTTGTTAAAATTTTAATAATTTTTTTCTATAAGTAAATAAATAAATAATCAAATTAAAAATTTTATCAAAATATATATTTATATTTTTTTTTCTTTTCCTTTTCTTTTTTTTTCTTATAAACGACTACAAAATAATAATAATAATAAATTATAACTACAAACTAAAAACGTTGTTTTTTTTGTAATCAAAAGTCATTATAATATCTCACACACGATAATGTAAGGCACGTGACACAACAAAAAAAATGCCTTCTTCTCCCACTTCTGATTAATAATTGCGTATGCCTGTACGTATCAAACGCGTCATCGACATTGAACATTAATAATAATAATAATAAATAAATTTATCAAATTTATATGTACACACGAATTCGAAAAAAAAAAAAAAAAAAAAAAAACAAAAAAATTAATATTAATAATAATAAAAGTAGTGATGCTAATACGAAATTTTTTTTTTTTGTGTGTGCGCATATCCGCAATCGACTAATGATCCAATATTCTTAAATTTCCAGAAACTATTTTATTTTCTAAACACGCTCCTGAGGGTATATCTATTCTGTCACCGTGATTGGCTATTATGATGACGGTTCCCTTAAGAGTGACATTACGTCCGAACGTGACGTCTCCCGAAACGGTCAAATGATCTAATTCTATGATATCCGGTATGGTTGCGAAACGAGATAAAAAATCTTTTACCTGAAAACCGCGATGTATAAACAAACAAACAAACGAAAGAAACGAATGAATGAATGAATGAATGAATGAGTGAGTGAGTGAACGAAAAAAAATAATTCTCTTTTTACCTTTGAAAAATGTTGATCTCCTAATTTAACCAAAGGCGTAGTCGGAAACATTCTTTTCGGGCTCATGCTCAGGGATCCATTTTTTAAATTGTACAAATTACTCATGACCAACATGAGATCGGATGTTTTCTTAACCGGAAGGAATCTGCTTCTCGGAACGTTGACTCCGACGCAACCGTTAAAACATTTCATGGCGGCACCCACGGCCGTTTCGAGTTGTATCACGTTGTAACCCGATTCGAGGTGTTTGTGATTGACAATGACTTCCATGTTGAGAGTTTTCTCTTCCAATATTCTTTTCATTGCTTTCAAATTGACCCAGAGATTGTTCGTGTTGAAAAATTTAAAGGACTTTATCGATTTGAAATCGTCCACGTGTTCTTCCGGCACTTGAGCTATTTCTAATAGTCTTAATTTGTTTTCGTAAAATGTCAGAGTACCTCCCTTGAAAACGCAAATAAAAAAAAAATTTAAAAAACCTTTCCCCTCCCCTCCTCTTCACCTCATATACTTTTTAAAGTATTTTTATACGTACCTTAACGTCGGCTCGCGTTTTGTCCGTGACTTCCATCACGAATTCCGGTGAATTTTCTTTTTCTTGCATGACGAGAGCCAAAATTTTTAAATCAATGGTCGCGCCTAAATTATCAACATTCGATATGAAACAATATTGACGTCCTTCGTTTATGAACATTTCGAGATTACCAGAATCTCGAAAACTTTCGTAAAAATCACCGTGACCCGGAGGATACCATTTGTCTATATCTTTTTTCACGTTTATGCTCGTCGGCATGGGCATGAGAGTGTCGCGATTTATTCGCGGGTAACAACTCTGATTGAAAGTGTATATTTTGAGACGAAAGTGTTTGTATTTTTGTATTATCTTTTCCGTGTCTTCTTCCGTGTTGAATGAATTCATGAGTACGAGTGGGACGTCGACGTTGTATTTTTTATTCAAATACTGAAATAATAATAAATAATAATAAATAAAAAAAAATGAAAACCGGAATTTCATCATTTCATATCAAAACAAACAAACAAACAAAAATTTAATTACTTCAATTTGTTGTACGGTTAAATCTAAAAATGTAAAATCGCTTCTGACGGGAATGACGGATTTGGGTCCGTGACAACCCATTGAAGTCCCTAATCCTCCATTCAATTTAACAACTATTAATTTATTTAACATACGACATATTTCATCCGAAGATGGTTCTGGAAGATCTTGATGATTGATAATCTAGAAAAAAATGAACCCCCACCCTCTCGTCAATTCTTTTATTATTACTTAATTAATCGGAAATTTAAAAATAAAAAAAAATAAGACATTGAAAATCATTTTCCCATGGAGAGAAAGAGAGAGAAAAATTTCATCATCATCATCATCGCTTTACTCACCGCTTCCGGTGGTAATTTTTCAATTTTATTCCAATCCACCGATGGACCACCTTCTTCGAGAAACCTTTCGAAAAGTCTTGAAAATCCATCGTGTTGTTTTTCAATATTTATCCTTTCCTCTTCCGAAACTGTTTCCCTTAAATTTTTCAATTCGTTTTGTAATTGATTTTTAGCATCTCTTTTAACGTTTTCTTTAAATTCTTGTGCACCCGAGGGCATCCGTTTATGTTCTTTTACCTGAATAAATAAATTACACGTGGAATATAATTAATTCTAAACCCATGTCTTCGAACAAACTATCATCATCATTATTATTATTAGTATTTCTAAAACCACTTTTTAATGCTAGTTACAAAGAAAAAGAAAAAGAAAAAAAAAATCATCGTCGTCGTGTGAAAAATAATATTTTAAAAATATTCATTCACACAATTGTTTTACATTTATATATTCTATTATTTTACATACATACATAACAATAATAATAATAATAATAAAACTTACAGTCATGCTACAAGCATCTTTTACATAAGAATTTATTAAAAGCCCAGTTTTTTGAGTTATTATTTCCATAATTAATTAATTTTTTTTTTTTTAAACACTTAATAAATAAAACAATACAAAAAAATAAACTAAACAAACAATAACAATAATAATAAAAATATCAAATCGATAAATCCGATAGTAATAATAATAATAAGTAAGAAAAAAAAGAAAAAACGATTTCGATACTTTTGGGATAAAAATTTTTTTTGTGAAGAACTAAACTAAAAAAAAAAAAAAATTTAAGAACTTCAGGTAGAATCTTGATGATTAAATCGAACCTTTGAAACATGAAAAAATTTATAATAATAATAGTAATAATAATAATAATGATTTAATGGGTGATTCACGTCATCCTTCGTTTAACTTATGATAAATTATATAAAATTCTTGTATAAACTTGTTATGAAATGCATAATGACAAGTTTTACCCCGATTTTTTCGTTACCCTTTCCATTTTTTCTACGAAAATTTTTTGAACCAACCACGATTCGTAATAATATAAATTCGAAGTAAATTTTTAAAATAAATTTCCCGATATATAGTAATAATAATAATAATAAATATTCGGCAAATTACCTTCGTGGAAACCAAAAAAAAAAAAAAAAAATCGCGAGATAATTTACGTAAGGTAACTATAATAAAGATTAAATTTAAAAAAAAAAAATTTTGTTTGTTTGTTCGTTTGTTTTAAAGTTTTAACGACGATAAAAAAAAATAAATTTAATTTTTTTTTTTTTTTTTTTTTCATTGAGCGACGTAAATCTTCGTCATCTGTAATCGATAATAATAATAATAATAAGAAAAAAAACGAACTTTAACGAACCATTTTAAGAACGAAAATAATAATTAAAAAAATTTTTATTTTTTTTTTAAAATTTGCAAAACTTTTACAAATCGTACCTACTATTATTATGTTATTTACATAAATTTAAAACTTTTTTTTTTTTTAAATGAAGAAGAGAGAGAGAGAGAGAGTGAGTGAGAGTGAGAGTGAGAGAGAGAGAGATAGAGAAGAAAAAAATATAGAAAAACAACAATTTACAACCGAGAAAGTACTTATGGATTCGTGATTTTTATTATTTTATGATTATTAAACGGTTTAAAAATTTAAAAAAAAAAATGATAATAACACGACGCGAAGATCAAAAACAAACAACAATAACAACCGCAAACGAAACAAATAATAATAATAATAATAATCGCTTTGTCGACGACCGTAATCGATAAACGTAAGTATTACAATAAAACGTTTCTCGTCTTATTAATGTTAATAAAAAAAAAATTTTTTTTCCATTCAATTAAATATCGTTTTTGTGATTTATTTATAACTATAACTAGACCATAATAAATTTGCGTCGAAAATTAAACACCCACACGCGCACACACACACGTACGCACAATCAATCAATAGTAATTATTTCAAAAATAATAAAAATAAATAAACAGAAAATTTCCAAATTTTCATTATTATTATTATTTTTTTTTTTTGTTTTTAATCGTTCAGAAAATAATAAAATTAAAAACTGATTAGTTTGTTTGTTTGTTAGGGAAAACAATAATGATTTTTTTCACACACAAACAATGCAATACAATAATTATTATTATTATTACTATTGTTATTAAATTATTATGTACTATGCGTTGAATGGAATATGAAGATTTTTCATTTTTCTATCATTTGTTCTAACAATAATTATCCAAAAAACGTTTATTAAATAATAATAATAATAATTTAAATTCTAAGTATAATTTGACATTGATATTATTATTATTATTATTATTATTTAACTTTTGGTAAACTTGTTAAAGTAATAAAAAAAAAAAAATCGTATTGCGGTGATAAAATGATAAGGATCACCATTTTTTTTTTTTTTTTTTTTTTAATTTACCCGCATATTTTTTATTTTTTTTTTTAATGACGCGTGTAAGGATGAACCCAAAATCTCAAGCGTTTGTACAATTCATTCATTCATTCATTCATTCATTCATTGAGAATGAAAAAAAGAAAATATTCACACAGACACGCGCGCACGCATAAGCGAAATAGAGTAAACATAAAAAATTTGTCCTTTAACTTCGTTCTTTCACGTGTAAGAGAGTTCACGGCTTTAATTTTTTTTTTTTTTGTTTTAAACAATAAAAAGCTACAATTTATTTATTAATAATAATAATAATTATTATTATTATTAAACATAATCTAACTAAGCATAATCAATTTTAAAAAAATAATGTAAGCATAATTGTTGTTTGTTTGTTTGTTAACCGAACTCGCGTACAATCGTAACAATTAGCAAATTTTGTTTTTTTTATTTTTGAATGTTATTCCTCTTTAACATTATCATTATTATTATTATTTATGAGTTTTAAGATAAATTATGTAATAATAATAATAATGATTTCCTATCAATTAAATTTCTATTTATATCGTTCGTTCGTATCAGTTCAAAACACAAAACTTAAACTTAACTAAACTAAACATAAAAAAAAAAATAAAACATTTTTTCTTGTTTTTCTAAATGAATTTTTTTTTTTTTTTTTTATAATTTAAAATTAAAAAAATATATACGTTAAAAAATAAACATAAATAAATAAATAAATAAACAATTTAAAAAAATTTTAATAAAAAAATAAAACGGTTGGTTGGAAAATATTAAAAAAAAAAAAATGGCGGCAAAACCGAGTTTTCCAATGTTTATTTTTTTTTTTTTTTTTTTTACATCTTACCATTCTGTTTAAAAAATACTCCATGTTTTAATTTTAAAAAAAAAAAAAAAAAAAAAAAGTACGTTAATAATAATAATAATGATAAAAACCCCCGAGGGAAATAAAAAAAAAAAAAAAAAAACTTATTTACGACAAAAAAAAAAAAAAAAAAACAATAAAATAAAATTTTTTCTTTTAAAAGATTCAATTTTACACGATGCCCTTAAACTTTAGACTGAAACAAATTAGATCGCGTGTTTATACACTAAAGTCTTATCAACAATTTTTTTTTTTTTTTTTTCATTTTATTACATCATTTTATCCACTCATGTGTGTTTGTGTGTGATTTAAGTTCAAACGAAAACCCTTTGATCATTTTAAATAAACATAATTAAATACAATTTTTTTTTTTTTTAAAAATGAAAATGCAATGCAAATTATTTTATCATCTGTGAGGAAAAATTATTAAATTTTAAGCTAAAAATGATGTGAAATGAATGAAAAATTGTCATTTGTTAGTCTACAACAATCTTTTAAGCATTCGATTAAATATATATTTAATTCATGCGATAATTTTTGTCAATTTCTTTTTACATTCGATAAAAGCAGCAAACAAAATAAAAAACAATACTCGAGCTGACTAATGAAGAGTTGTTATTATTATTATTATTATTATTACTTGCAACAGAGAAAAAAGAAATTCAGAATGTTATACACATGCATTTTTTATTATAATTAATTTTGTTTAAAATGAAAACAACAACAGCAACTAAAAAAAATTATTTTGAAAAACAATAAAATTGGATAATTGTAAACTGAATGTTTTACGAGTTTTTTTTACATTTCGATTTATTTGTATGTTTATATCATTAAGCAGAAAAAGTTTAATAAAAAATAAATAAATATTATTCGAAATGAATAATTACACATATACAACTTGTTTGAATGATTTCATAAATATTTATAAATATAATAATCAATAAATTATGTATCCTGTTTGCAATAAATTAAAATAATAACTTCAAAAGGGAAATTATTATTATTATTTTTTATTAAATTTATAAGTGAGTAATCATTTCATATGATTAGGTTTTTAATAATAACTGTGTTAACAACATAAAATCTGTGTAATATATTCGATTCAGCTTAAGTAATTGAACTAAAAGATACAAATGTAATATTGTATTCGATTAAAATCTATTCGACAAAAGAGAAATAATATGATACCGATTTTGCAAATACTCGAGATTTTTTGAATAAGTGTGAAATCAAAAACCGCAAAGTCAAAAAATAATAATAATTATATTAACAATAAAACATTAGAATAGAATGAGGGAAAAAAACTTTCCTTTAAAACATTTTAAATTTAAAAAAATGAAAAAAATTATAAAAAACGAATAATTTTTTTAAATTTTTGTTATTTGAAAAAATTTTTTTTTAAAAACGACAAAAACGAGAAAATTTTGCATTAAAATTTATCGATCAATCATTATATTATTAATTATAAGTTTATTAATGATAATAATATTATTGTAAGATATGTTTGTTATAATGAACTTTCAAGTTCAAATATATAAAAAAAAAAAAAAAAACAAAAACAAAATCAAAGGTTAAATTTTTTTTTTTTTTTATGTGGGATATAAATAAATTAAACATACCATTAACTTTTCTTCAACTTGTAACATTTTAACAATTTTTTTATTTAAAAAAAAATTGTTTTATTTTAAATATATATAAAAAATAACATAAAAATTTTAAATTATTATTATTATTAATATTTTGTAAATCTATTTAATATTTATATGTAGAAATTATTAAAAAATATAAAATAAAAATTAATTAAAAAAAAAAAATAAAAAAATAATCACGAATAATAATAAAATTTGTTTTTTTCTTTCCTTTCAATTAAATAAAATGTAGTCTGCTTCACAACAAATTCAAAATGTCTTCCAGTTTTTTTTTCCCGCCATTATTATTTTTACCGCCATTTCAATTTATTTGAAAATTCTTTTAGAAAAAAAAAAAAAAAAAAAAACA